AAAAAAAAAAAATAGAAGTGTGCACACGTCTTATCAGGCCTGCTGCAGCCGGCCCCTACTGCTACCCACCCCAAATGTGGTGGGGATCCTGATTTTGGCAGGCTGGATCTGCCACAGATAGTGAAGGGAACCAATGGCCAGCTCCATGACACGTTTAGTCTTCATTTACTTAAAAGGGGAAAAAGCTCTGTGGTGAGACCATGTTTCCAGGTAAAGGCAATCTTAGAATGAGAAATTTGTGATGCTTACAGGTGTACCTCCCTATTAAAGTTAAGGCTATAGCAATATGGGGAACAATACTGTGAGGGGCCCTTCCTGAGGGGACCTTGGGGACTTTCACAGGAGATTTTGTGAAACCCTGTGCTATGGGCCATTTATTGCCTGTTCCACCCTATGCAATGGGTGGAGGTAATTGAATGCCTATGTTCTGACCATCTCTTTGAGGACCTACACTTCCTACCAGTACTACTTAGGTCCTCTGTTAAGCTCTTTTCCACTTACTAACTCCTAACTAGTGATTTCGAATAAATAAACAAAGGAAATGTTATCAGAGGAGTCTTAGAATCTGCTCTTACACCAGAACTAAGACTGTAACCGATCCCATGCCTTTTTTTCCTAACCAAATGTATATGCCCCCTCGCTAAGCCTGAGGCTGAAACCTTCCAAGGATATATCAAACTAGTTTATGATAGAAGCCTCAGTGGGCCCCCCACCCCCCATTTTTCTAGGAGTGCTTCAGTATTCTTTATTACAAAAAAATATGGTTAGTTCCATCTTCATTAGAGTTATCTTAATTTCAAATTTATCACCTTCCTTGACAGCTCCCATCTTCCCTGAATTCCTAGGCAACCTCTAAGGTACATGAATCTTTATGACATCAGACTGGGGGACACTTAAGGCCTCATTCATATCCCATAATGTGAAGAGTGGGAGATGGTCTTTCAGAGAAGCCTTATCTAATGTGAATATACTATAATGCTGTGTGGCTTGTGCCATGCCACAGCTGCATTCTTGTACTTGAAGAAGAACATCTTGCAAATCTACTAGACTGATATTTGGATAACGTTAAGTGATAGTCTCTCACAATCTAATGTTTCTTGGACTCCCTTCCAGCAAAGGAGATTTGCATGATGCTGGACAGGGTTCTGAAGTAGGAGGCCTGCTAAGTAAGCATCTTTTAGAGTTTGATCACTCTTATTGATGGTTCTTACTCTACTTTTCTACCGTAACAGCCTAGATTAATTGCTTCTTCTAGAAGAGATGGAGATTATCTAGTTCTCCAAGACCACTAAAGCAGCCCAGTGGCTAATAACGCTCCCACCTGATCTCAGCATATCTTGATCCTTTCTGACCTCACATAGCTTAGCACCAGTTAAATGTGGGAGATCATTTTCTAGGAGCACTCAGTTCCAGGAATCCTTGTCCCTGTGCCTATTTCTGAAAGAAGCTGGTTTCAGTGTATATCACCTGCTCCACTTGGGAATGGGAATTGCTTGTCCTCAAAGCTTCATTTGAGGCTTGGAGGTGCTATGTCAAAGACTCCTGGCATCCAACAAGAGTATATCGGGACTACTGCAGCCTAGAGCAGCTGCTGAAAACCTGGAAACTTAGCTCCTAATAAGCTGGATAGATGTCTCTTTTCAAATGATTCAGTTGACCATTTCTAATGTTCCAGGAACCTAGAATTAGAGTCACTGATTCCCTGGAGGGTAATCATAATCTGAACAAACAGCAGATTACCTGGAAATATACCTGAGATACCCTTCAGCAGGCTAAGACTGATAAAAAGACACATATTGATCAATACCTGACAGTGCTGAGAACATATGGAAGGGAAATATCTCCTTTCAATCTCAAAGAAATACCCACCATGATGGAAATGACTTCTAGCTGGGTCCTTTCAAACTGACTGTGGTTACAATTTGTCCCCTCCATATCATTCTTTCACATTTCTGCCTTTTGTAATCTATCAAGACCCTGCCATCCACCTTGGGCTGAAGTAGCCTCCTTTATGTCACCCAAGATACCACTGTTCCAGAATTTGGTCCTCCAAAAGAAGTATGACTTTGAAGAGTGATACTAGGAACCTGCCTCTCATGGTGTGCCAGCAGGTAAACTCAAGGAAGCTGAGTTTTCCCCCTTCTGGGAGGATCTTTGGGTAATGGATTTTAATAACTCTATTGCCACCCATTGTCTCATCACTGGTACCCTATAAAAGGCTATCTCCTACAGCCTTCTGTTTCTCCTTCTTTTGATTCACTGATAGGCTTGACATTTAAGACCATCCCTTGCTTCTTAAATCCTCCTTCACCCTTTTTTTTAAGTTGAATTTACATACTGTGAAACAGATCCTTTTTTCTCTCCTTCTTTTGATTCACTGATAGGCTTGACATTTAAGACCATCCCTTGCTTCTTAAATCCCCCTTCACCCTTTTTTTTTAAGTTGAATTTACATACTGTGAAACAGATCCTTTTTTAGTCCTTTTACTTCACACCAGAAGCATTTATCAACACAGCTCTGAATCAAACTTTATTAGAGTTAAATAAGAAGAATATTCATGGAGAGAGATCTATGTGTATTGATTAGCAACCAAGCAATCCTGGTCTATAGCTGGTAAAAGGTTATATTAAAGGTTTTGAAGGTAAACTTGCTTAACTCTATGGAAAAGTTGCTTAACTCTACTATAGAACTTTAATAAAAAGGCTCCTAATGATTTTTTTCCTCACCAGAAGTCTTATGATAGTATTCCCAATGTATCAGAAATTTATAAGAAAATGACTAGGATCTGTTTCATAGTATGTAAATTCAACTCAAGAATAGTTGAATTATTTCTCATGAATGGTGAATTACATTAACTCTGAAGAAATAAAGTTTTAAAAATATTGTTACTTTTAAAAAAATTAACTAAGGCTTTCTGTTAGGTACAGTAAAGAAGGTTAAACAATATAGTCATCAAATTTTATAGCTGGAAGTATCCTTAGGGGCAGTGGTGTGATGGAGGCTCACACTGGTTCACAAGAGTTGCTTGATTGTGTACACCCCTTCCCAACTCCACATTCACTGATAACATACTGAATTGGTGAATATCATTGAAATTGCCATGGAGGGAGTATTTATACCATGGAAATCAGTAAATGCCACAAATCAGGGCTCCCCCTCAACTTCCATAGAAATAGTTATTAAACAATTTCTAGCTTACCACTGCGTAAGGGTCACCTACAGTAAACCAACAATGTCACTTAAAGAAAAAATAGATGAGGACTATCAAGCATTTATTTAAGAACTCACAACATGTTCATCACAGCTCTGTTTACAATAGCCAAGACATCGAACCAACCTAAAAGTCCATCGATGGATGATTGGATAAGGAAACTGTGGTATGTGTACACCGTGGAATACTATTCTGCCAGAGGGATAAATACCACATGTACTCACTCATATGTGGGAGCTAAGAGAGAAAGAAGGAAGGAAAGAAAGACCACAGTGGTGTGTTGGACTTGCAGAGGGAGAGAACATTCCTTGGGCTACAAAGTGGAGTGGGGGGAAAAGGGGAGGGGGGTTGGGGATAATTGGGTGGGGGACACGGGGTACAAATGCAATTTGCGGTAATGGGTATACAGCCAGTATGAATCTGGCCCCCACATCATGGGCACGAGGGGTGACAATCAGCTTTGTATCTCATGAATATTCATAACCAATAAAAAAATAAAAGAACCCACAACTAATTAGGCGAGTTAGGACTAAAACCCAGTACTTTCATCTGCCTTGTCCAGTCCTCTTCCTGATGTGCAATAAAATATCATCCTGTCTGAATCTAGAATTTAAACATAAGTGACACTAACGGTGCTGTGGTAAACTTACTTTACTGCTATACGCTTCGGTTTATATAAGTTTATTTATATAGTTTGTCTATAACATAAGGGTTTAGATTTGGCTTATAAAAATTTTTGGCTCTGACACTTCATAATAATTCCACAATTAAAAATAAGTTTCATAATGAGAGAAATGTAAGGTATGTTACTACTCTTTATGGTTGATTTCAGAAGTTTAACATGGGTCACTGTTTCACACATGGTACTGTTTTTTGATAGAGTGACCAGATATCCTTTCTCTGAGAAGATAGTGTTTCCTAATTCTGTTTTTACTTGCTAATAAGGAATAATTTACCTTTTAAATATTGAGACCAGTTGTTAGCTGTTAGGAGCTCTTGGTAAATTAAATATAGTTTTACTATTTACTTTAGGTGGATAAGGCCTGCTGTAGACCCTTCCTGTTTCTCAATAGATGAAGGGTGAACACTTTTTACAAAACAGTGTTCAAATCTTTATTCATTCACTTTTTTGGGAGTGGAGGGAGTACTATTTCTGTAGTGATAAGAGCATAGACCACCTGGACTAAAATCCAAACATCATGCTCTCTCTACATATACATGACCTTGAGGAAGATATTTAACTTCTCTATTCCTCAGTTTCCTCATCTAAAAAAAATGAGGATAATAGTTCATATCTCATATTGAGGATAAAATGAGTTAATATATGCACAATGCTTAGAATAGAGTCTGGCATATAATCAAGTAACATATAAGCATTTGATATTTCTATAGTTATGATTATGCATCACAGTTGACCTGGTCATTTCCATAAAATTTATTAGGATAAACCATGATCACTTAGGTGTTAGTAAACCCAACAATCTTTCTTCACCTGGTTTTATGGCACTTAATTACTCCTTGTCTCATTACAACCCAGATCCCAAACCCTGCCAATAAGATATAATATGATATAGGTTGATGTTCATAGTAAGTCACTTCTGCACAAATCTTTGAACTGACCTGGTGCAAAGTAATTGAATGGAATTATATTTAAAGGACATATCTTAGCAGCTCCTCAGTAGGAGTGAGTGAATGAATGAGTCGGTGTAATCTTATTTTTTCCACTTATTAATTATCTTTTATCTCTTCTCAGAGAGAATGTTATGAGTGGATCAACACATGTTCTCACCTCCTTTCTGATATCAAAGGCAGAGAAATGAAGTTATTGGCATACAAAGAAATAGAGCATCTAATTGGAGAGGAGGTATTTTCCACAAGCTGGCTCTTGTCACTATTCAGGTTCTTCCTGTATTTCAGTAGATAATGTTCAGCTGCTTTCACCATTGAATGTTCTGAATCTTTATTCATTCATTTTATCAGAAGAGAATTTAGTTTCTGACCAAGAACACTGGCAACTCTTCTAATTTGTCTTTTTTGTTGGTCCTTTCATATTTCCGAGGCTTCTTTTGGCTTACTTTGCAAGCTCCTCTTTCTTCCCTAGTGCAAGCTTCCCTTTCTTCCCTCACTTTCTTCCTTAAGTGACTAGGTTCCTGTCCTAAGGCCTCATCCTCTTGCCACTTCACAAGTTCACCTTTGGGATATAATTTACTTTGTTGGTTTTAACTAAATACAGGTAACTGTAAAATCTTTATCTTTAAAATCTCTCTCCCTAAGGCCTCATCCTCTTGCCACTTCACAAGTTCACCTTTGGGATATAATTTACTTTGTTGGCTTTAACTAAATACAGGTAACTGTAAAATCTTTATCTTTAAAATCTCTCTCTTTAGCCCAAATTCTTCCATCTAAACTCCAGATCCATATATTCAGCTACTTACTGGATATTTCCACTTGGATATCTTAGTGGTATCTCAAACTCACACAGCCTAATCTGAACTCATCTCTCTCCCAAGACCTGCCTATCCAACTTTGTTCATTATCTCTGATGTCATCATCATCTACGCAGTGGCCTAAACCATAAACCAGGTATTGTTCAAGATGCACTCTTTCACCAACCATCCCATCTGATTGATTTCTGAGTTAACCTCTTAAATATCTCTTGAACGCTCATCTTCTTCATCCCTGCGACCACTGTGTTGTTCATTTCCTCTTCCTGTACTTTTCTCCCTCTCTTCTTTCTTTCTCCCTTCCCTCCTCTTCTTTAAATCTACTCTCCTGTTGCAGGAGTGATTGTTCTAAAATGCAAAGCAGGCTTCCAGTCAAGATGGTGGAATAGACAGCCCCCAGTGTCATTCTCTCCCACAAATCAACCAGTTTACAACTATTAAAAAGCAATGACAGCCAAGCTGGGGCCTGCTAGAACTCAGGGGAAGAGGAGAGCCCTAAGGTGTGCATGAAGGCAGGAGAAGCCATGATGAGAGAAGGAAAGGATATCTCACACCATTTTGAGCCCAGGCCACTTCAAGGCTGGCTCTGGTGAGCACACAGAGCAAGAGCTGGCAGAAGCCGCAGCTGTGCCCTTTCTATGAAGTTGCTTGAAGGCGGCAGGGGAGAAGAGGGCCTTGGTGGCCCCCCGGCCAGCAAGACCACTAATAGGGTTCCTGTGGACCCACATAGGAGTAAGGAGCCACAAAAACTGAAAAAAGAAGCCACTCAGAGGCCAGTGAGTCATTGCATGGCACTGGCACATGGCCCGTCCCATGGGAAGTGTTTGGAGTGCAGGGGTCAGGGAGACTGGCCCACCTGGGGAACACTGAGGCACAGCAAGAACAGCTGATCTGTCCTCCAATCAGCACAGGCCCACTCTGTGTAGACTGGTCAGGAATATAGAACTGCATGGGGTGCAGTTTGCTGAAAAGACTCAGGTCTGGGCCAGAGTTTCTACACAACCCAGGTGTACCAGATCTCATGAGACTTGGAAGTACCTACAAAGTCAACCATTAAAACCTGAGCTGCACAAAAACCCTTCCCCAGGGAATCAGCAGCAAAGCAGCAATTTAGCTCAACCACAGGGTTTGAGTGCTGGTCTCCACAGGAAGTTTCTGCATTTTAAAAGTAGGCAAAAGACAACAAATTAGTTCCAGTGCAGAGTTTATGTGTTGGAAACAGTGAATAATCCAACACAGAACTAAAAAAACAAAATACCCACAGACAAGAGACAAAGTTTGGTATTAACCAGCAAAGGTCTCACTTCACCAAAGAGCACCTATAAAACCTAGGACTGGAAGCCCCCTTGATCCCCAAGCCAAGGAGGTGGGAGGGCTGGGAGCCTCAGCCATGCCCCCCAATACCCACAACCAGCCCAGTGATGACCACTGAGCCACTGCAGGAAGCACCCCAGGCTCCTGAACTGGGACAGTGGGTGGCTGAGGGCTGCAGCCATGCCCCCTCGACACCCACACCCAGCCAAGCAACAACAACGCAGCTGCTGCAGGAAACACCCCAGGCTCCTGAACCAGGGCAGTGGGGGGCTAAGGGCTTCATACATCTGACATCTGCATTCAGCTTAGCAATGACCAAGCCACCACTGGAAGCCCCCTGGTCTCTCCTACAGGAATGAGGGGAATGCCACAGGTCTCATCCATCCCCCCTCCCTCTCATCTACCCCCTGCCTTCTCCCACCCTATTTCCTTCCCCTTTTCCCTGTCCCCCTCCTACCCAAATGCTCCACAACAACATCTTAGAATGTAAAAACAGAGCCAGGGACTGACCCCTCCTCCCGCAACTAGGCAGGCTGCTGCTGCCATGGGGCCCTCCCAGGGTCCTGAGGTATGGAGCCAGGGACCGGCCCCTCCTCCCACATCCAGGCAAGGAGCACTCCAAAAACACCACTTCCTTGTGAGTGGCCCATCACATCCACCACAGTGCAGATGGCCCACCAGCCACTTGAGTGCATTGACACAAGGAGAGTCACCAGCAGAGACCAAAGAAGAGGATGTCTCTCTCCACAAAGCCCATTCCAGAGAGATAGGAGAAGCATCTGTTTTATGATAATAGTGGGGGAACTGAACACACCTGTCTCAGCATTGGACAGATCATCTAGGCAACAAATCAACAGAGTAACCATTACTCTTTCAGAAGGAAAGAAGAAATCTAGGATTAACGAGGCAGGAGTGGGGAGGAAGAGGGAGATGAGGAGAGATTTGATAGGGGGCCTAAAGAATAAGTACAATTTGTAATAATATATATGCTAATATATTGATTTGATCAACATATGTCAACCTTGAACTCCAAAAATATGTATAATCAATTATGCATCTAAATAAACAAACAAATAAAATGCAAAGCAGATCAATCCATTTATTTGTGCCTCATTGCCTTAAGGATGAAATTCAATCTCCCTGGCATAGCAGCTTAGCCCTTCTATGATTGTGCTTGTCCATTTTCCTCTAAGTATCTGTCCTGTTGAAGTACTTCTGTTCTCAGAAGCAATAGTGCACATACAGCATCCTCTGCCTAGGACTCCTTTGTGCTTTCTTCTTTCCCTTCCTCATCTTTCAAGAAAGAAGCTCAGACATTATCTCCTTCAAGAAACCTTCCTGACGAACCCCCTCTTTCACCCCTGTCCACTACCTGGTCTAGGTTAGGTGTTCCTACTATATGACTATGTCCATACATAGCATTTTCTTGTCCATGAAATTGTAAGCTTCTTAAGGGCAGGGACCATTCTTAGCAATCTTTTTAGCCTTATCACTAGCACAGATCCCACTTGTAGGTTTAGTGCTCATTAAGTATTTTTGAACAAATAATTGCTAATATTTATATACACTAAGCTATAATTATAAAATTGTTTCATCTCACAGGAAGCTGACAGAGAATTCACTGAGCCTGAAATAGATGAGCCTTTCAAAGACGATGAAGAAGAAAGTAAGGAGGATAAGAAATATCAGGAGGAAAAGGAAGAGGAAAAATCAGAAGAGGTATAATTATTTAGCATTATTTTTTGCCTTTATCTTTTTAAAGAATAGGTACTTATTATAACACCAAGTTCAAGGGTTCAGATCCCCATACTAGCCAGCTGCCAAAAAATAAAGAAAGAAATAAAGAAGGAAGGAGGGAAAAAAGAAAGAAAGAAAGAACATGTACAACATGTATTCATATATATGTACTGTGGAAAGTACCTATATAGATACATATATAGTACGTGTATAGGTACTGTGGAAAGTAGAAGTAGTTCATCTGGAGTGAACTGTTCAAATTCCCTAACCCTAACCCTAACCCTAACTATACCTGCAGACATACTTATCTTTGTCACTTTATATTCAAGGAAGGGGTGTCCCTTTTCCTTTCTAAATTGAGCCATTTCCCATTAGCCTCATATATACCTGTACTTCTATTAACTATATAATCTGCCTCTCACTCTGGTGCTATTTTTTTATCCCTTTATTGCCAGATTTTTCAAATAGTAGTTTATACTCCATATCTCCACTTCTTCAGCTCTTATTCAGAACTACCTTTTCCCTCTTCTCTCAGGCCCATCTGCAAACCTGTCCTCCCCATATTTACCCTGTCTCTAGCTCTGCTGGGGCATTTGTTCTCTCAGGCCCATCTGCAAACCTGTCCTCCCCATATTTACCCTGTCTCTAGCTCTGCTGGAGCATTTGTAATAATAATAATAATAATAATAATAATAATAATAATAATAATAATAATAATATAATGTTAACTACCAATAATTGAGTACCTATCATGAGCTATATAGTTTGCACGTGTTATCTCTTGTCTACACAACACAACTTCAAGGTATGTATTATTGTCCCCATTTTATAGATAAGAAAACTGAAGCTCAGGAAGGTTGACTGGTTTAAAATCATATAGCTATAAGTGGCAGAACCAACATTCAAACCCAGATGAGTCTGGTATAAGAGCCCTTGCCAATTCCTAGATTGACTACTACTGTCTTTGGCTTCCAGATCTCACGATCTCCTAACACTCTCTACAGTGTCTTGATTTACTTCCCTGATGTTTCTTCTCTGCATATAGTTTAAATGTTGAAATGACCGAGGCTTTGTCCTAGGCCTTCTACTCACCATACAGGCAAACAACAGAACAAAAATATTGCACAACACTCAAGCCCCTTTTGACTAGCATTTTCTGTTTTATTTCTGGTAAAGAGGCTAGCATATATAAGGCACAGAATAAATCATAACAGTAATTATTATTATTACTATTCTTCTTATTATCATCTATGGCCTTAGTACATGTCCTTTCTTCTCTAATTTAAAAGCACCTAATTAGCCTTCAAATATCATTTTCTCTGTGAACACTTCCCAGAGTTTCTAGGCAGAATGTAGGGCTCTTCTTTGGGTGTGCACAGCCCTTGCAACACACCCTTATGCAGTAATTATGTTGTACCATAATTATTCATTCTGTTATCTATCTTTCCTACTCTACTGTGAGTTCCTGAGGTCTGGAAGAAATTCTTTTTGTTTTTCCTATAGCTACCTTCTTTTGTCCCCCATCCCACCAATTTCTCACAGTGTTCGCTGAGCACAAGTCTTCAAAAATGCTTGTTGAGTGACTAAAGCAAATGGAAAACTAAAGCTTCCAACATAGCACCAGGTAACTTGATGTGCCACTGTGTTACACACCAGCTCACTTACAGGTCTTTGGTGTTTCTGTGCTCCAGAAACCTTCAACATCTACAGAGAAGGAAAAACTCATTCGATTCATTGGAAAAGATGAAAATGTTCATTCTAAACCTCTATATGAAACAGATGTATTGTCTTCCTGGGTATGTATCTGAAACCCAACAAGGAAATTCAAAACTATTTAACATTATGTGAAAATGATATGGCTCTAACATAACTTTTAGGTCCTCCAAGAGGACTAGGGGCTTCTAAGTAATGTATTTTACAGATTTTTTTTCTTCCAGCATAATTCCTGGAAAACTCTCATTTTTTCACCTAAATTTTCCAAAAACTTCTCATTCTTATCTTTAAACCTCATTTTAATATCAGTATTTCATCCTCTTCCTTAGTTTAACAATTTCTTGGTCAATAATTGACCAATTTTGGGGCCGGCCCGGTGGCGCACTGCTACAGTGCGCCGCTTGGGAGTGCGGCAGTGCTCCCGCCGAGGGTTCGGATCCCACATACAGACCGGCTGCTCACTGGCTGAGCGAGGTGCGGGTGCAACACTGAGGGTTGCGATCCATTGCCAGTCACAAAAAAAGACAAAAAAGGAAAGAAAAAAATAAATAAATAATTGACCAATTTTTAAACATATTTATTCAGCAGACTTTATTGAGAGCTGTGATAAGCACTACGTAACTTCAACCATAGAACTTTTGGAAAAGTGGAAACTTAAGAGACAGTGGCTATGGAAACTCAACAGCAAAGCAAATTTTAAATTTCTCTACAGAAATTTCATTCTAGGACCATGGCATACATAAGTTGGCTTTAGATTGGTATCTCACTCTCCACAGAACACCGTGACTTCAGGCATCTATGGATGGGCTTGACCCGTTAATCCCTTGGTGTGTGTATGTTCATATTGTGCATTTTCTTGGGTTGGGGGAAGTCAGTAGATTTCATCAAGTTTCTCAACACTAAAGTTAAGAACTGTTTTATTGTTAGGGATCTGATCTATCTGAGTAGGCAGTGGTACGTGTTGTGGTGGGGAGCTGTGGTGGGGTAGATCTAGACGGCAGCTAGATCACTAGGGCAGAGGCATGGCCCAAAGTATAGGCAAATTGCAGGGATGTATAGATGCCCCTCAACTTAAGATGAGATTGCATCCCAATAAACCCATCCTAAGTTGAAAATATTGTAAGTCAAAAATGCATTTAGTACACCTTATCTATGAGACATCATACCTTAGCTTAAGCTACCTTAAATATGCTTAGAACACTTTTGTTAGCTGATAGTTGGGCAAATTATTTCCAAAAAGTGCTGGCAGCACAATACACTATAGAGTATCAGTTGTTTATCCTTATGATTATGTGGCTGACTGGGAGCTGCAACTCCCAGAGAATATCTTACCACATATCCCTAGCCCAGGAAAAGATCAAAATTAAAAATCCAAAGTACCGTTTCCACTGAATGCACATCACTTTCCCACCATCGTAAAGTCGAAAAATCATGAATAGAACCATCTAAGTTGGAGGCCATCTGGGGAGGTTGTAGGAAATAGGATCCAATTCTGATTGGAAAGACTGGGAGAAACCATATGGAGAGTCATGTGGGGGCTGGCAAAATTGGGGTGAGGGTGGTGCATGGTGGGGTTACAAGCATATTCTCCCAAAGTGATGCCTTTCAACAAATTTAAAAAAAAAATTAGTAAGTCAGTCATTAAGACTTTGAGGCAAAGATGTAGGAGGAAGCAGTGTGAATAAAATGCCAAAAAAAAAA